ATATACCCACTGGCTAGCCCAGCATCTGTCCCAGGGTAGAGGATACCTAATTTTTGGTGACAGAAAAAAGGAAGGTGTTATAAAAGCAGAATTGGTTAAGAGGGAGTAAAACCCAACCTCATAATTAGGACTAACTGGGAGGAATGAACAAATTTACCTCACAGAAGAGGAAAATAGTAAATATTTTGGTAGATTTATTTGAACTGTGGTTAGGGAAAAGACAGAGAACTTGCAGGATGACTGGCAAGCTTTTTGTAATTAGCAGGTTGCTTCAGTACTACATAATCTTCCAAATTAATTGAGAAAATTTAAAGAACACCCTACTGCTTTTATCTTTTTAAACTTTCCCGTGTGTTCTTACTTACCTAGTATCACATGTCCTTGCAATTACCATTTGAAAGTGAATTTCAACCTCATGCTGTCCTATTCATAGCAAATACCAAGGTATTGACATTCAAAGAGTGTGGGTTTACAAATATATCTGATCCCTGAGCGGGTGGGGACCTTCCTCACTCCTGACGCCCCGTTAGAGTGGTGCTGTCCCTCGACCTTCCCAGGCCCTTAGATTAGGCAGGGAGGGTATGGTTCCGAGCTGGGGCAGTAATGAAGAGAGGATGGTACCCAAAAGTGTGCAGAAGTGGAACCTCTGTGTTAGCACTCCCTGGCTTCTTTCTTGGAGGCATGGAAGGCAAAATCAATTCTGTAAACAGACTAAATTTAAAAAATATTAAATTAAATAAATAGTATAAAAAAATTCTGGCAACCAACTTCCTATAAGGGGCTTGGGTAGGCAACACAAAGGGTAAGAAATGAGTAAACACCACTGAGAAAAATTATTGATAATATATTTAGGAATATTGTGTAACATGGCAAATAATAGAAATTTAGTTTGGAATTTCCTAAGCCACTGGGAAAAGTTCTTACAATCCTGTCCTAAAGTTTTTGAGGTTGAAAAAGAATTTTCCATTGTCTGAAACCAATACCTTGACACATTGCTGATAGCATATCTTACAAATAGATGAGCATATTGTCAAATGTTCATATCTTTCAAATTTAACAATTATTACAATAAATTATACCACCTCCTTGAAATGGTTCACTTCAAAGGAACAATAAATAATGTAGTGTTTATGTTCTATGAAAGCTATGCATCTGACAAATATGATGTTCAACTTTTAAAAATTTAATTATGGAAAACTTAGAAGGAAATAAAACATGTAAAAATCAAAATTTCCAATTGTACAGCTAGGAAAACATTTGGACATTATCCATATTTAACAGTCTGAATTTAACTCCCTGTCTGTATAAGAAGATATTCAGAGCAAACATCGACTCTTCATTTCTCCTCTCACCCCTCATCTGGGTAGATTTTATTTATGCATTAGACGACCTTTTTGGCCATTAGAACCATCTTGCTTCAGCAGTTAATTAACACAAGTACCATAATTTAATACAGTTAATGCTACTTGATGCCCTTTAATGTATCTTCCATTAGTGATATTATTGTAGTATTACCCCGTAAATTAAAATGAGATCAAGGCTAAGAGAGCCACTCTTTAATTAAGGTACTGGCACACTGCACTCGCCTATTATTCACTAGAGAAAATCACCCTGATTTACTGAAGTAGGGCATCCATAAGTCAGAATTAGTACATGAAGATTATTAGGTTTATTGAACAATATAAGTACTATGGAGTCACGGAGATTGCCAAGAGCTATGTTTCCTCTTTTTCCTCCATTATCTTAATAAATACACAATGAGGTGGAGTAAAGGGAAGCAAAATAAGTACATAGCAGAAGAGGAATACAATTTTTAGGATGGGATTATAGCTTTTGTCACAGTGAAATAGGTATCAGATGTGTCACATGCCAAAAAAAACACAAATGCTACATCAGTAACTATCAAAACATCATTGTTACCAAACAATACTAGCCTTTATCAAACATAAAGGCATGTACATGTGTGCACAAGAAGCAGAGAATTGAAGCTCATAGTCAATTCAAGCAAAGGCTGCAAAGTTTTTGTCTCATAGCTTTAATATTTCAAGGTGAAAAATCTTGTATTGTCTGTGCACTTTCTATGGATATTGACACACTTCCTTCAAATGAGTCCTGCAAATTCCCACTTTACGGTGGATGTAGTGGTAGAGTGACGAGTGGAACAATAGTGGTATAGTGAAGAGACACTGACATGTTAAGGCATGCTGAATATTGCAATTGTTTCATGGATGGTGGAAGGTGGAGGCAGAGGGGCTGTTGAGAGAAACAAATATCTCATTTATATTTTGGAAAGTTTATATTTATGATGTCCTTGAACAGGAACCTTTAGAATTTTCCTTTAGAGAATCATCTAAATTCAATAAATTCAACCTGCTTATAGATGATTTGCCATATAAAAGAAAGACAACCTAGACTGTTAACCCTATGGAAGTTTTCCAGAGTAAAATGTACAACAGCTTTTATGCTGAAAGGCCCTGAACCAGCAGCAGTTCCCTTCAGTAACTCCTCCTTCCTTATATAACTTAAAAAGCTGGAGACATGCCCAAGCCATCAGGCCTTGCCTCTTTAGACCCTCCCCTAACACTAAAAATACCCTGGCCATCTGGTGCCTACCATGGCACATGCCAGCATCGGTTTTGCCCTGAGGAATTTGGACAGAGTTTAGAGGTGACAGAGAGGGACCTTATGGAAGGTGCTCACCTCTATTGGACCTTTCTCTCCTGCCCAGCTGCTTCCTCACCAGCTTACAGGGGACTGGTGAACAGGAAATGACAGTGGAGGTGAGTCCCAGAGAAGGGAGAAGGGCTCCTCCAAAGTCTGCAGATCCATGAAATAGAGCTAGAGGATACTACTAGGATGATGGGATAAGTGAAAAGTGGAAAATCTGGTGGGAGTCTACATTTCCAACTTGCCACCTTTAAGACAGAGTATGTCTGGCCCCAGTAAAAAAAAAAATGCATAAAAATGCCTGTGGCTTTATATATATTTTCATTCTCTTTGAAATAATCAAAGGAAACAAAAATAAATATGCAATAACAGAAATAAGCCCAACAAGGGTTATTTCCCATCCAAAAGCCTCACAACATTGCATCCTTTGCAAGTGGAAAATCAGCATATTTGGGGAAGTTGGGCTATAAGGATTATGGTTTAGATTAAGGATTTCTTGAACTGCAAGGAAACTGATTTAGATGATTTGACCTAACAGCATAGATCACACTAGGATTCAAATTCAGCTTATTAATTTTGACATTTCTTCTTGTAGGTGAACAGAATACTTGTTACTTTGTTATGAAATGCTATTGTTCAGAATTATCAACCCCAATTATTTATATATATTATGGTCCCCATAAATTAGATACTGGAAACCAATCATTTATTGCTAAAATATTCATGAGTTTAATGGCTATATTTTATTATAAATAGGAAGCTAATGTTTAAGGAAACAGCTCCATGTTGCCCTCTCATGGTGCCCTATGAACTGTCCTTTGTACCTTGGAGCCCACAAGCTCAATATTGTACCAGTGCATATCTCTCTCACAAACACTATTTTGCTTTAAAGATACCTTCATCACATATCACCAAGACCTTGGTTAAAAAGTTTAAAAGAGATTCCATTGCTAAGGTTTCTTGATGCCTACAGGAGGAACATGAAGCTAGAACAAAGCTGAGTAGTGGCCGCCAGTTCCTAGCACCTTCCACAGTTAAGATTCTGAAACCTCTACCCCCAAACTGAGGTCACACTTACCACACCATTCTGTGTGCCCACTATGGTCCTAACCTTAACAGCTGTGACTCCTTCTTTCTTCTTGTGCCCAAATATGATATTACTATTATCAAAGACAAGTTGAGCCAACTTTGAAAGGCCAGGAAGTCTCAACACTTCTCCAGTTTCTAAAGTCTAGGCTGCCCTAAGGGAGATGCTGGAAGCCAGTAAACTTAATGAAGCCTACCTTACTTGTCTACATTTTATGATTACTTAATTAAACTTAGATGATTTATGTACTGACAATGTTCTTATCCTCAAGTATTCTGATTTAAATCAATCTTGGCATTTTTCAGAATGATTATTGCTATGCTTTCCTTTCCCATTTTTCTGTATACCCCCCAACCCTTTAGTTTTCCCAACTCATTCTCGCATGCTTCAACTCCCATCAGTTGGTTATGTTAATAACACACCACGCTTAAAAGCTGGTTGAAAAAAATCTCTACATTGTGGTCCTTGTTCTCACTAAGTTTGCATTTACACATCTTCAAAATTCTTGGAAACTTACTCACTTGTGGTTCTATATATTATCAAAATAAAAGATGTGCTTAAACTGTGATCAGGCATGTGTTTAAACTCTGGTTCATCTGTAACTGACCCACAAAAGGGAGAGAGCCTGACTCAGGTCCATGTTTTAAATGGTAGTATAATTTTTTAAGGCAATGAGCTCCCCAAACCTGAAAAGTAGAGCTTGTCCATTTATACCAAATGTACTGTGTTTCCTAAATGCTTTGGTTTGGATTTAAAGATAAGAAACAATCTTCATTTCCAGAACTTCACGCAATATAATATACAAAACATAAACAAAGATAGTCTTATATGCCGAAGCCCCTCTCTTGCTTCTGAAAACAAGGGAAAGGTATATTTCTTGTTTCTCAGTCCCTCCTATAGAGCAGCCAGCTTTGTTCCTCCTGGGTTCATTGCCTGAAAGACTTAAACCGCCTCATGACCTAGGGAGTTCTTTGGTCTCAAATAAGATGCTTTCTTTCCCCCCTTTCGTTTAAATTTTAAGAAATTCTGGCAGGTTCAGGGTCAGTGACAGAAAGTCTGAGATTACAAATGATTGCCGAGTAAGAGGAGTCTCAGGTGCCTCGGAACCTACCTCTTAGCAGGTGTTCAGGAGACAGTGTTGCAGTGGCAAGTGACAAATGTTACTACAGCTGCAAGACTCACACTCTGGCATTTTTTTTTGTTTAACACGCCCATTCTCATTCAAGTCAGACAGATGTTCTCTTACCTTCCATGCACCTTTATGTCTGAAATTGCGTAAAAGTAGCGTGCCAAATGTAGCTCATCTACAAATATTTCCCCGACTGCTGGTCTCAAGAGCCTTATCCTCAGGTCTGTGACTGTAAAGAAATCTCTGAGTTTCTTGGTTGTATCCAGCTGTCCGTAGAGGGAAGCCATGTTGCGTAGCCATGGTCCAGCAAAAAACGCAAACCTGTCTTTGATTTCAAAGTGGATTATTTTGCTATTCGTCATATACCCTGTGGAGTACTCTTCGGTGCAAATGATTTCTAAGACCGTATGCTGTGATAAATCCTTCACGGATTTAGGATCCATGTGAAAAGCATCTAAGCAGTCTGTGGCATAATACTGATAGGGCTGCCATGTCCGTCCATAATCGAGGGATTTCTCCAGGATCATTTGGTCAGGACGCCCTGATTCAAAGGTAATAACTATGTTGTCTGTGAGCTCAATAGTTTTGCTCCAAGACAGAGTGATGTTAACCTGGAGAGGCTTGGGGTACTCCTTCCAAGTAGCAGACTGCCAAAATGTGGAGGGATGTCTTCCTTCAAAGTCAAACATCAGCTCAGGGGGGTGCGCCAGCTCAGGGGTGCTCGCATCGCACTCATTATTGCACATGTAGGGGTTGCCCTATGGAAGAAGAACAGAAGAGGTGCATCACAATACCGGTTTGACATAAGTCTTGCCATATTGCTGCTGCAGAATAAGAGGCTAGGAAAGAAAGAAAAGAAACCTGTTCATGGTAACCGTTTTTATTTGCCCTAACTGGATTCTCCTTTTTAATGGCTTTAGAAAAAAGAAGGCAATATGGTAATTTTCATGCCTTGTTTCCTTCTATGAGTTTTAAGAAATGAAAACAGTTTATCCCATATGTGTTAGACCCATAATGTTGTCCCAGAAGCACAAAGACACTGAGTAACTGTCTAACAGCTCAGTATCTCCGTGTCCTCTTACAAAAGTGCCATAGAAAAGCAAGGAAATTCCTCCTGCCTCAAGGACGTTCCTTAAGAGCACAGTTCTTTAAAAAGTCATTTTTCAAGCAAAGCTTTAGAACTAGCAGTGAACTGTAGATACCTGTATCCTGTTTGGGAAATAATACCCCCACACAACATTCAGTTTCTTTCTGCTTTGCCTCAAATCCATCATACTTAACTAGCTCCCTGCTTCATAAAGCCTGCTTTTAAACATTTACTTTGTTCACCACAAATCATTAAAATGTGGTACACTGCAGGCTCTCGGGTTTGGTCCAAACATCTGCCATTCCATTAGCTGGAGGCAAGGGGCTTGCTCAGGAAAGACTTGGGATGGGGGTGTGTTCCAACGTATCAGGGCAGGAAAATCCAGTACTTAATAAGAGGTTGTTGCAAAGCTCCACAGCCACTTGATGGGTGACCCTGTGCGGGTCCACAGCCAGCTCGCCATGGAAGTCAGCCATTACTATTAGTCTCCCTCTCACAAGGACTCCTTTCTTCACAGTCCACTCAAATGAGAAGCTGGAAAGAAGCCTCCTTGTCATAGCCCGAGTTATTAACACCACTTCATGCTGCCCTGAATGGCTGCTTCCAGCTTTCATCAGTAGATGTAATGGTAAACTGGCTCCCCAATTTTGGTTTACTTTGTGTTTTAAGGAAACAAATGGTATCATTTGGAATCACTCTTCAGGCATTTCTAATTTTGTACTGGGTAATTGTAAGCATGGAAGGCTGAAAGAATCCACCTTCCAACATTGTCCTTAGGCTCTCTCTTGTAATTACAATTAGACTTTTTTTTTCTTTTCCATGTAATGATAGCTTTTCATCATATCTGCAGCAGGCATGAGCTGGGTCTCAAATAATGCATTTACACTTTAGACACCGACAGTCAGTTTCTGGCTGACTGTGTGAAATGTAAGATGAACACTGGGGAACTGCTTTGGCTTCCCTAGAGGCAACTTTCTTCTACTTAGTCAGCTAATACTTTCACCCTCTCTTTCCCATTAATGCAATAGAATACTAAAGCTGGCAACAGGTTTGGGAGATTCAAGTATAATTGAGATGGGGCAGAAGAAAGGAGAGAAGGTACATTATTTGAGGAACAGGACGGTTTTAAAAATAGATTCAAGGCATCAGTGATAATGGAAATGTTTCTGTACTTCTCCCTCAAATCTCAATTCTCTATTCCTGATCCCAGCGTCTGTGGCGCTATTTATAGTATCCCCTTCAAAACAAGCCAAGTGGGGAAAATAAGTTTCTGTTCCAGGTGGAATAAATCACCAAATTTATTATTATTTAAGCTCTCTTAGGCATACCAGAGAGCCAAATGCAAAGCTCTGCAAACTGGCAAATGCTTTTTATGGAGGGCTATAAATATTGTGGAATCTGTCAGGATTTATAAATTCTAAATATATGTAAATGAACATATTACTGGAAGGGGTCAGATTTACACGAACCACACCTCACTGAAAAAATATGGTCACTTCAAAATCTGTCTGCATGTGGCATCTGCACAATCATTAACTTGGATGCTACCACCTTCCTCCTGACAAAAGCATCTTCATCTGTGGTCAAGGGCACAGACACACAGGAAATCAGCTCTCTGGGGGATACAACGAAGTGAGTTATCAGACCTTTGTATTAAGTGGTGTTAAAAGATAGCATTTCTTTGACTTTGGCATAAATGCACAGAGCTTCTCAGATGGGGATATTGTGCTGAGACAAGGCAGGCACAGCACACTGATGCTGGGGAGGGTCAGTACCACCAAGCCTGTCTTAGAAAATGTATTTGAAGATGCTTATATAAAAAAGCATTCATTCCTAGACTGGATAAAATGTGTCGACAATTGCTGCCATTTATTTAGTCCTATAGGTCAGATGCATATTCACTATCCTGGGTGAGTGTTTTCATCCCTACCTTGTGAGAGGAAACTGAGGCACAGAGAAGTGTTAGGAAGCTTGCCCAACATCATATACCAGTGTGAGTTAAGGGGCAGAGCCAGTACCTGCTTCTGCTGTCCCTGTTTGACCTGTTCAACTCCCAAATCAAGAGTTGCCTCTGATGCAACCCAATCTTTGAAACAGGTTAGCTGGCAGAAAGGAAGGACTTAAGATCAAATACCTTTGGGACACATAGCCCAAGATTTTCTTATCTTAGAGAGTCCCAATGATCATTGTCATACATCTAAGATACCTTAAATAACAACCTTCCTTAGTTTCATGAACACCAAGTTTCAGAAAAGTATTTGACCCTGGAGCCCCTTTTTGTTTTAGTCACCCCTGTTTGTAGCCCACACAAGTAATGTCCCAGAGAGCCTCCTTTGAGATTCTCTGCTTTCTATTACTTTTAAAATTGTTAATGTGATGCCAGACCCCACAACCCTTAGTTGTAATCCTCTAAATAAAGACAAGTCCATATAAGGCATCCAGTTTCTGCTTTTCTGCTTTTGTTTCACAGGGACACTCTTTGACTGGGGCTCAGCAGGATGGTCAGCTCAGGATAAAGGCTGGCAGTCATCAGAATGCATGCCAGGCCAAGGAGACATTTCATTGCTCTGCATTGATCTGGTGCTTTAGGGCCCTGAAAAATGGGAGAAAAGCTTCATGCATTCAATAAGTATTAATTGAATGTCTACTCTATTACTGTATTTAAGGCATATGCCCTGGCTCCCAGATACACCAGTAAACAAATACAAGTCCTTCCTTTCAGCAGAGCTTCCATCTTGGCTGGGAGACATGCACCAAACAAGCAAATATGTAATGTTTTAAAATGCTACCTGGTGACAACTGCTTTGGAGAAAAAGAAAAACATTTAAAGGGAAGAATGGTGCTGGAGGAGGAATACTGATTGTAACAGTACATTGGGAGGTCAGAGAAAGTCTGTGCTCAATAATGTGGCATTTAAGCAGGTTAAGGACAATTGTTAATTTACACTGGAGATGATAAGAGGTTGACCAGAACATGACAGTCTCGTCCTTCATCTGACTCCACTCTTTGTGATAATTTCAAGCAGCATAACAATTTACTGAAATAGATGAGTAAACAAATCATTTCCAGTGAGAATCTATGCCAAATGACTGTAAGATAGGAAAAAAAGAAATAGCAACCTAACCGTTCTTTTTTCATAGCACCCTTGCTCTTTTAGGAGATTAATGCTTTGATGGCCATTAAGATAACTCACTGAGAGACCAGGGACATTGAAAGAAAACATTCAGGGGGAAAAAAAATTCATTTTGATTCCCTATGAAGAAACCCTGCACCTTAGGTGAGAGAGAAAGGAAATGGACAAAGTAGCCAAAAATCTAGAAAGAGAAATGGAGGAGAGATTACATGCCAAAATATTTCTCGTGACTGTTTCACATGGATGTGACCTGTGATACTATTACGGATCATTATCAATATAAAAACAATTGCTGTTAAAGGGATTAGGTTCATTAATTTTTCAACTACTTCAACCCCACCCTAATCCTCTCTAAAACCATTAACAATGAAATTTATATAAGAAAAATAACTTCCCCCTACTTGTGAAAGCAAAGAACACTTCTTGCTTCTAAGTCTAACGGATTCAGGCATTAGCAAGAGTAAGTAATTATTTTGTGGCCAGCAGGCAGTCTCAAATAGATCTTAATTTAAGTCCTACAAGCAACAGATCTTTAACTGATTGTCTATGGACAAAGCAGAAAATATTTATGACTATACTGATAATATTTACACCATTAAGAGATGCCTAAATAATTAAACAGATATTGCTGATAAGTATTTTTTTTAACAATTAGAAGAAGATTGTGATGCTTAATTTCATTTAAAAAATGTTAATATTTTACCTCCAGGAGAACTGTAGTTAGTTATTAATTAGCACTTTGTAGCCGAAGTGGGAAGTTGTTATTCTTCCTTAATGTGCTTTCAGAATTTACAGGGATAAATAAAATTTGAGACATGTTTTCATTGTTACTATTGACAGAAGTGCCTTCCTTCTGGCAAGCCACACTTGAAAAGAACATCTTTCCACCTGCAATCTGCTAGAGCCTTCTGAGTTAAAAAAGGAAATCCTACATAAGCCATATTAATATAGTATTTGTGGTTCCTACCATTTTGGATACACCCTTCCAAGCTTTACCTATTGGCAAACTACTGGGAATGACAGTCAGAAATGTAGGGAATTCTCTTGGGAAATTTGCTACTGAACTGGAAGTTACATGCCAGAAAGGCATGTACTTACAAGTGGTTGTGAGAAGCATTTGGGTTATCACTTAAAAACAGTGAGAGCTGCCTGGCACCCATTTGCATCTGGCTGGCCCATGCTTGTTTTATTAGTAAGTGACAGTAAAAAAAAAAAATGACACAAAGGCAAGGGGAGCAGGAACCATGCTCTGGGATAGCACTCCTGTATCATTCCCCCTGGGACTTTGAAACAGATGTCATTGTAGCTTTTAATGTCACGAGGCTTGAAAGGAGTGAAGACACTGTTACCACAGCCTACTGCTCCTCTCAGAGATGAGCCATGGGCACCACGTTTTAGCTGCTAGGCTGGGCTATCATCTGGAGGAGACGGCTTCCTTTTCTCTCCTTTCACTGCAGCTCACTGGGAGCCAACAACTTCTGGGAGGCTGATGACTGGCCTCTTTATATCAGAGGGATAGCTTTTGGTGGGGGCGATCC